CTGCTGTAGGTCGGGGCAGGGCCGCAACGGCAGCTGCTGCAGAGCGAGGCAGGGCCGCGACGGCAGCTGCTGCAGGGCGGGGCAGGGGCGGCCGTCCCAAGGGCGGGCGCGGGGTAGGGCAGGGCGCCGCGGCGAGGCAGGGGCGACTCCGCGCGGGTCCCGTAGGGGCGTCGCGACGAGACGGGGGGCAACGCGCGGGTCCCGCAGGGGCGTCGCGACGAGGCAGGGGCGACGCCCGGGTCCCGCAGAGGCACCGCGACGGGGCGGGGGCGACGCGCGGGTCCCGCAGGGGCGACGTGCGGGTCCCGCAGGGGCTTCGCGACGAGGCAGGGGCGACGCCTGGGTCCCGCAGAGGCGTCGCGACGAGCAGGGCGACGCGTCGCGGGGTCCAGGGGTCGCGCCGCGGGGTCCAGGGGCGGCTGCGCGGGTGCAGAGCAGGCCCGCGCGCGGTCTGCAGGGCAGGGCGGCAGGGTGGCGCTCGAGGGCGCGAGTAGGTAGGCGCTCGAGGGCACGGGTAGGCAGGCGCTCGAGGGCGCGGGTAGGCCGGCGCTCGAGGGCGCGGGTAGGCAGGCGGGCGGCGCACGGGGCTGCAGGGGGCCGCGAGGGGCTGCGTGCGGGGCTAGTGGGCAGCGCGCAACTAGCAAAAGGGCGCACGAGGGCGCAGGCAGTAAGCGCACGAGGGCGCAGAGGTAGTAGGCAGTAGTAGCAGTGGTGGGCCCTAACAGTAGTCGGTCCTAGGTGACTAACCTAGGCTCGTGATACCATGTCAAAATGAGAGAGGAATGTGTGAACTAACAGGATTGGGAGTACAAGTAGGAAAACCTAGAATGTTGTACCCCCTAAGGCTAAACCCACTATAGCCTACAGAATAGAAACATATACAATGTTTGACACTCATGGAGACCAAGATGGGGCACGGGGAGAAAGCAAACTCATATATCAACCGCTGTCGGAACATTCGTGACCAAATCACGAAACATGGAAGCGCCATTTCGGAGGAGATCTTCGTCAACATCGTCCTCCAAGGACTCGGGCCAGAGTGGAAGCCCTGCAAAGCGCTACTCCGACAACGTGGAATCATCTCCGAAGCCGCGCTATGCGCCGCCCTCCTGACTGAACAGCAGGACATGGATTCGAGCAGGACAAGCTACGCGCCATGCCGAGGGCGCCTCGCCTTCTACACAGACAACCGAGAAGAGCGACGACAGCCACGGCGCCATTATTGCAAAATCTGCAAAGTCTTCGGACACTCAATGGACCGATGCAAATTCCGGTCTAACAATCGCCACCCAAATTCCACTCACCACCATAACAACTGGGTCGGCCGACAAGACGCTCGTCATTTCAGCCTCAGCAACAAGCTTCACGCCCTCCTGCACAACACCAACAACAACAGCAGGCACAAGGGTCTCAAGCGGGAGCTCCCAAAAACGTGATCGCTAACATGGCGACAAGACGTCGCCCACACGCCGCCGAACCCGATGAGGAAGAAGAACCTCGCGGCGAGCTCATTCAACCTGAAGAAGGGTGTAACAATCCCCTCACAGAAGATCACTATTACCAGTATGACGAGGACGAGCAAGATTGGCATCAGCCAATACAACTGCGGGAAAGTCCGCCCCACGAAAATCAGCACTACGTTCCCGTGTGATGGAAAGAAGACGAGTTCTTTGAGAGACGATACAAGGCGACTCTGGTGACGCCGCGGCTCGCACTCCTCCTGCGCAATAGCAACACCAATCATAACACCTGGTACCTGGATAGCTGCTGCGGCCAGCACATGGTGGGGTCTGTCCGCTACATCTCGAACATCAGTCGCGCTCCCGCCACCTACGTCACTGTCGCCAACAACGAGCAACTGCGCGCAAATGCGCAAGGCATCGTGGTGTTACAAGCTCGGGACAACAACACGCACATCACGTTCAACGACGTGCTCTACGTGCTGGACCTTCGCTTTAACTTACTGTCGGCAGAACAACTCAGAGACTGTGGAGTAATGCTCGCTACGGATCCCTACACGCGCGACCTCATCCTCACCTACGCCCCTCCAGACACATCCGTCGAGTCGCACAAATACCTTGGAAGAGCTCGCTCGCTCAACGGCATTTACGTGCTCGACTTCGATATCCCCAACTGCCAGGCATCGTCAGACGAGTTCGTGGACCTCGTCCCCCTGGATTTTCCATACATGAACGTGGAATCATGGCAGCATCCGGACGGTCGACCGTGGATTCGCCGCAGCCCCCACCCTGAAGAAATAAATATGCACCAACCCGGTCCTGACGGCATTTGCACCACCTGCTTCACGCCCACGGCAAGCCGCATAGAAGAAGTCGAAAAGGATCTCGCGGCGATTCAAGAGGCGGAAAGCGCCGAGGCGGAACCTACAAGCATGACAGAAATGGAGCTAGCTGTTACCACTCACCGTGTTTTTGGGATCGGAGACAAAAGACTGGGGTTGACGGAGCAGCAGCGCCCAACACCGCGCTCCGAAACCCTCCGCTGGATCTTGGAGGAAGCGCACGGCACAACCTTCGACGAGGAAAATCGTCCGCGACCCTACACCCGGGACGTCTACCGCAACCTCATCAAGAAGGCGTGGAAAGATCCTGATGCAAAAGAAGAATTGAGCGTCAAGGAGGAGGAAGACAAGGTTAGAGCAGAAAAGAAGGCAAAGCTGTACGAGGAGCGCATAGCGGCAGGATGGGACAAGGAGTTAGCACGACAAGGCGCATGGGGAGATGACAACTACACAGGAGAAAATGACGGTGCAACATGGGGATCCGCAACTGGCGCATCCGGCACCGTTCAAGGCTGGGGAACTGGCGGATGGGACGACGCCGAAGGCGACTTAACCAAGGAGGAAATAGAGGAAGTAGAAAGGGAAATGGCTGCCGAAAGACCTCCCCCGCGAGTCACCATCCCACTAGGCCGCCCTCAGCGCAACCTCCCTTCACCACCCCACTCACCCTACCGCTGGTCGAGTCCCTGGTCGGAAATTGAGGAGGGGAATGTCCCTACCACTCCGCCTCGCGACTCACTTGGGCCAATCTCCCGCCCAAATCCATTCGCCCGCTTCATCGAGGGCACCAGGACTCCACTCAACAGCATCCCTGACCGCAACTTTCTCGCGCTCTACCTTACGACGGCACCTGCAGAGGGGGAGACAGCAACAGAAGCAGAAGCAGAGGTGCCGGACAACGAAGCAGAACCAGGAGAAGAAGAAGGACCCGTGCTCCAAATTCCGTATGAAACGGAAGACGAAGCAGCAGAGCACCACGCACGTTACCTGCGCACTCCCGGTATTCGCATTGAGGAGGATCTCTGGCATCAGCGACTTGGACACCCCTCGCGTCAGACGTTCAACAACTGCCTCCGCACCAAAGTATTTCTGCCAGGAGCACTGCTGCGTCCCGATGGCACGGAACCCCTCAGCACCTCACACCCAACCACCTGCACCGTCTGCCTTACAGCTGCTCTCACGCACCAAGCCTACCCCTCACTGGAGCCGAGCACCAACCGCTACAAGAAGCTACAGAAGGTCTATAGTGACTTCATCGTGCTCACCTTCGACGGCATCAACGGCGAACGATACACACTCACCTTCGTGGATGCATACTCACGCCACGTCTGGATTGCCAACGTCGACGTTCGCTCAAAGGCTCCTGAAGTCTTCCGCATCTGGCTCGCCCACGCACAACGACAATCGGGGAAGAAGCTGAAAATCTGGCAAACTGACAGCGCCAAGGAGTTTCGCAGCAACGAATTGGAGAGCGTTGTCGCAGAGAAGGGGATCAAGCATCAGATTTCTCTCCCCTACGCTCACCAGCAGCAAGGCGTCGCTGAGAGGGTTAATCGCACCCTCATGACGAAAGTGCGCGCACTCATGAATCAGTCCGGCTTACCCAAGAAACATTGGCCGTACGCCATGAACCACGCCGTGCGCCTACACAACCTCCTCTCCACCACGACCAACAGGGGCAATCTCTCCCCGCACATGAAATGGACCGGCTCGAGGGGAGACACCTCCATGCTAAGGGTTTGGGGGTGCATGGTGCAGTATCGGCCGACTTCGGCCAAAACTGGCAAGTTTACTCACCGCGCACGCTGGGGAGTCCACCTGGGGCACAGTCACGAGTACCAGGGTTGGCTGATTCTTGACATTGACAACAAGCAGATCGTCCCCGCTCGTGACGTTCTCTTCTACGAACCTCTCACCTTGGAGCAGTGGAACGAGGACGAGCGCCGCAACGTCGCACGCGCCTACGACAACAATGGTCGCAGCTTTGCATCTCCGGAAGACGAAGCAGCAGCAGCAGCACTAGACCGCGACCCAAAAAGTGCATTCACTTTATAACATTTGTAATTGAGTGTTGTCGTTTTTGGACATGTTCATTGGATGCAAATACCTTAATTTGCATCCACGTTGAACTTGTTGTCTCGGCAATTGTGTTTGATGTAAAACTTGACGAGGCTACCAATTGCTTCCATTCGCCGTATTTATCGACGATTATGGAATGATTATCTCCGTCATCTCCACGACTTTGGAGCACTCAAAAAGGCGTTAAAATGAGTGCTTTGGGCGTTGGGAAAAGACGAAAAATGCACTGTTCATTCGAATCGACCGAAAAAAGTGCTACCAAATGAAAAGGGGTTGCTACGCAACCCAAAAAGTGCATAAAACGCCAATTCTGAAATGAGATCCCCAAAATGTGAAACCAATTATATAGGGTTGTTACGCAACCCAAAAACAAAATACACGCCCTAGAACTGACTCAGTGTGGGCAGAACTAGCATCACACGCTTCTGGCCTCGCCCCCTCATTGTTTCGCTTCAGCTTCATCGCCATCTGGCTCTATTTCACCTTATTTTCAGTCGACATGCCATTTCCCTCACACGCTTTACAGTAGCATCACATTGCATAGTGCGTTGATTTCCGCCCGCGCCCGTCGCGCACTCCTTGTCCATTTGCGCCGTAGAAATCACTTAGCGCCGGCGCAATGCCAAAGATCTCGCCGATCAAGCAGCTCGCCGACGCTCACGATGACGGAATCTGGGCCGCCGCGTGGGCGCCGCCGACGGACGCGCGGCCACAGGCGGTGCTGCTGACGGGATCCGTCGACGAGTCGGTGCGCGTGTGGGCCGGCGACGATCTGACGGCCGCGCGAACCAACAGCGGCCACACGCTAGGTGAGGCGACAGGCGACAGGCGACAGGCGACATGCGACATGCGACAGGCGACACGCGAAATGCGACCCTCATCTCGCTCCCGCCCTCTCCCGCCCCCCTCTGCTCCCTCTCCCCCCCTGCAGCGCCTGACAGCTTCGCCAGCAGTCGCATGGGCGACAGGCCACGCATGCCCATCCCCTCGCCCCTCTTCCTCTCCCGCACCCTCCCCCTCTCCGCATACTCCCTCCAGTACGTCTCTCCGCATACTCCCTCCAGTACGTCTCTCCCTCACTCCCTCCTGTACGTCTCTCCCTCACTCCCTCCAGTACGTCTCTCCCTCACTCCCTCCAGTACGTCTCTCCCTCACTCCCTCCTGTACGTCTCTCCCTCACTCCCTCCAGTACGTCTCTCCCTCACTCCCTCCAGTACGTCTCTCCCTCACTCCCTCCAGTACGTCTCTCCCTCACTCCCTCCAGTACGTCTCTCCCTCACTCCCTCCAGTACGTCTCTCCCTCACTCCCTCCAGTACGTCTCCCATCACCTCCTTCCTCTCAACACCCCTCACTTCAGGCGGGGTCGCCCTAGCCGCTTCTCCAACCGCCTCACGAGCAGCGGCGTCCTCACCTCGCCTCGCTGGCCTGCGCCCTGCGACTCTTAGAAGTCCACCCCGTTTCTCTCCCACCCCTCTCTTACCTTCCCACCCCTCTCTTACCTTCCCACCCCTCTCTTACCTTCCCACCCCTCTCTTACCTTCCCGCCAGGCGTGGTGGCCATAGCGGCCTGTCCAACCAGCGCGCGAGCAGGGTCCTCCTCGCTGGACTGCTTTGTGAGGGTCTTTGGTTTCAGCTCTAACGCCACCATCGCCATCCTCTCTCCCTCTCTGCTCGCTTCCCCCCCCTTTCACTGCTCCAGGAGTGGTGGCCCTGGCAGCCTGTCCAACCACCTCACGAGCAGCGTCCTCGTCGCTGAGGGTGTTCGATGTTGACTATAACGCCACCATCGCCACCCTCACTCCCCTACTCCTCTTCAACCTCCCTTCACTGCTCCAGGCGTGGTCGCCATAGCGGCCTGTCCAACCACCTCACGAGCAGCGTCCTCGTCGCTGAGGGTGTTCGATGTTGACTATAACGCCACCATCGCCACCCTCACTCCCCTACTCCTCTTCAACCTCCCTTCACTGCTCCAGGCGTGGTCGCCATAGCGGCCTGTCCAACCACCTCACGAGCAGCGTCCTCGTCGCTGAGGGTGTTCGATGTTGACTATAACGCCACCATCGCCACCCTCACTCCCCTACTCCTCTTCAACCTCCCTTCACTGCTCCAGGCGTGGTCGCCATAGCGGCCTGTCCAACCACCTCACGAGCAGCGTCCTCGTCGCTGAGGGTGTTCGATGTTGACTATAACGCCACCATCGCCACCCTCACTCCCCTACTCCTCTTCAACCTCCCTTCACTGCTCCAGGCGTGGTCGCCATAGCGGCCTGTCCAACCACCTCACGAGCAGCGTCCTCCTCGCTGGACTGCTTCGTGCGTGTGTTTGACGTTGACTCCAACGCCACCATTGCCACCCTCGAAGCCCCCCCTGCTGAGACATGGCACCTGGCCTTCCACCCGCAGGTATGCTCCTTCTCTCTTCGCATCCCTTACTTCCTCTCGTCTCGCCTCCCCTCCTCTCACCCTCCCCTCCTCTCGCCCTCCTCTTCTCTCATCCCTATCGCCACCATTGCCACCCTCGAAGCCCCCCCTGCCGACACATGGCAGCTGGCTCCATCCGTACTCCCTTCTCACTCCTTCTCCATTCTCATCCCTCCCCTCCTTTCCTCCATCCCCTCCTCTCATCCCTCCCCTCCTTGACTGTTCCGCGTGAGTCTTTCATGCCACACCACCATCGCCACACCACCATCGCCACTCTCCAAACCCTTTTTTCTGAAACTCAGCACCTTACTTCCCACTTTAAGCTGTTGCTGTTGCTGTTGCTGTTGCTGTTGCTGTTGCTGTTGCTGTTGCTGTTGCTTCTGCTGCTTCTGCTACTCACCATGTACTCTTGGCCAACCTCAGCTGCCCGTGCGCCGTGACCCTCACAGGCAGGCCGTCTGTCACCTTTCCCATCTTTCCACCACACTGCCCTCCCTTTCCCGCTTTCTAGCACCACCACTCAACCGTTATCACACCTCTCCATCCTTTCGTTTCGTCCATCCATCCACCCCACTGACCCCCCCCCCCTCATACAACCCTCACAGGGCAGTTTTCTCGCTGTGGCGGGTGGCAGCAGCCAGGCTGTCAAGCTATGGAGCACTGCCACGTGGCAGGAGGCCACCACTCTCGACCTGCCAGCTGGACCCGCAGCGCCGGCCACTGCGGGCGGCAGCAACAGCAGCAGCAGCACAACCTTGGCCGGGCGGTTTGTTTTGTCTGTAGCGTGGAGCGTTGACGGCAAGAGGCTGGCATGTAGCAGCATGGACGGCACTGTAGCGATCTTTGACACGTCAGCATCGCCCTTCCGGTTCCTGCATTTCCTGGAAGGTCACCACCTGCCTGTTCGCTCCCTCGCCTTCTCACCCATCGACCCGCGCATTCTCGTCACTGTGAGTCACTCACACTCTCACCCTTGAAGCTGAGGGTCGATGTACGAACTGTGTATTGTTGTCGCTTGGTGGTCCAGTTCGTTTGTGTATTGTTGTACGAGAACTTGACCGTGCAGCGGAGGGGAGGGTTGGGCTCCTTGCACTGCGTTACTGGTGACTTTTGAGTCGACTCAAAAGTCTACTGGCTCACCCACGTGACCGTCCTTGTGCCAGCACAGCACAGCACAGCACAGCACAGCACAGCACAGCACAGCACAGCACAGCACAGCACCGCACAGCACAGCACAGCACAGCACAGCAGCCCTCCCCAGGTTATTCTGCTTAGTCCGATCCGAGCTGACAGCACAGGCAAGCGTGCTTGTGTCACTTTTGGCCCGACTCAATCAAAAGTGGCCTCCAGAGTTCTCAACAGTGACGTGAGCACAGTTCCCAGTGCTGTATGGGCTGAGCTGACAGCCTGGGATCACAGCAATGGGTTTCTGAGTGGTGGCGGTGAAGCCGCCTGTTGGCGGTGGTGGCGGTGGTGGTGCTTCGAGTGTCGACTCAAAAGTACTCTCACTATTCCCTTCCCAGTGCTGTATGGGCTGAGCTGGCAGCCTGGGATCACAGCAATGAGTTCCTGACTTGTGAGTAGTGGAGAGGTGGGCTGCGAGAGGATGGTGCTTGCATCACTTGCACTTGCATCATTGCACTTGCATCATTGCACTTGCATCATTGCACTTGCATCATTGCACTTGCATCATTGCACTTGCATCATTGCACTTGCATCATTGCACTTGCATCATTGCACTTGCATCATTGCACTTGCATCATTGCACTTGCATCATTGCACTTGCATCATTGCACTTGCATCATTGCACTTGCATCATTGCACTTGCATCATTGCACTTGCATCATTGCACTTGCATCATTGCACTTGCATCATTGCACTTGCATCATTGCACTTGCATCATTGCACTTGCATCATTGCACTTGCATCATTGCACTTGCATCATTGCACTTGCATCATTGCACTTGCATCATTTCACTTGCATCATTGCACTTGCATCATTGCACTTGCATCATTGCACTTGCATCATTGCACGTGCACTTGCACCAACCTTTCTCACCTTATGGCAATTCTTTTTACCTTCCCCCCTCTCAACCCCCCGTTCCCGCTCTTTCTCCCTCACCTCCCTATCTCCCGCCGTAGCACTTCCTCCTCCGATCAAGCAAGTGACGATCGACTCAACACACATACGACGTGGATAATGCATTCTCCCCGCTTGCCGCTCCTCCTTTACCCCTCCTTCCTCTCCCCCGTGCCACCAGGCGAGTAACGATCGGCACACACATGTGTACGACGTGGGGGGCGGGCAGCTCAAGGCACATTCCCAGCCCGTTTGCTCTTCTGTGCCCCCCAGCGCCATTCCCCTGCCACCCTCACCTCCTTTTCCTCCTCTTCTGTCAACCAGGCGAGTGATGATTGGCACACACACGTGTACAATGTGGTGGGAAGGCAGCTCATAACAGCGCTCTCAAGCCGCGTTTCCTCACTCCCCTTCCTCCCTACCACCCTCTCCTTCCCCCTCTCCCCCCTCCCTCCCCATCCAGGCGAGTGATGACCGCCACACACATGTGTACGACGTGGAGGGAAGGCAGCTCATAGCAGCGCTCTCAGGTCACACCAGCTGGGTGCTCAGCGCGGATTGCAGCCCAGATGGTGCCACCATCGCCACAGGTGCGTGCATTTCTTTGTGTGCGCATGCATGCGTTTGTGCATGCGTGCATGTGTGTGCATTCTGTGACGGGTGTGTTTGGTCTGTCATCAAAGCGGACAGCAGCTCGTAGCACCTCATAGCACCTCATAGCACCTCATAGCACCTCATAGCACCTCATAGCACCTCATAGCAGCTCATGCCATCACCACACCACCACAGCACCTCATACCACCTCATAGCACGTCATAGCACCTCACAGCACCTCATAACACGTCATAGCACCTCACACACAGCACCTCACAGCAGCGCTCTCAGGCCACACCAGCTGGGTGCTCTCTGCTGCTGACTGCAGCCCTGTCGGTGCTACCATCTGCACAGATGTGTGTAGGGGCTTTCCTATATCTCTATGTGCTGTGGTCGTTCCGTCATCACAGCAGCCCCTGTCAGCTTGTTCCGGCCTCTCACTCAGCTCACACCAGCTGGGTGCTGCAGCGGCTGCAGCCTGATTGCAGTGCCCTGGGTGCCACAGATGCTACAGCCTAACCTCTGGTCGCATCCATGCCACTGTGTGCCTAACCTCTGGTCGCATCCATGCCACTGTGTGCCTAACCTCTGGTCGCATCCATGCCACTGTGTGCATGTAAGGAGGGCGTTGTTGATTCAAGTGACAGCGAGGGTTCAGACGCGGCCGTTGCCATGCCTGCTGGTCCCAGTCTCTTCTTGGAACCAGTATGTGCCACACAAGGCACGGGAGTAGCACCAATCCACCCGTTCCTCACTGCCTCGCACCCTCCCGGTGCACCACTGCAGCCCTGGTATTAGTGAGACATGCAGCAACAGACATGACTGCACGTAGCCAGGAAGCGAGGAGAGAAAGCGCTGCACAAGAACCAGGTGTGGCGTGCTGTATCTCTCCTCGGCCCTTTTCACCACCTCTCACCACTTCTCACTGCTTCTCTTCCCCCACAGAAGTCACCCATGAGGCTCTAATGATTGAACAGTTAGCTTATGGTAAATCCGGCAGATGACAGGAAGCACAAGTACCAGGTGTGGGTGTGGCGTCGCTCTTGTCACCCCTTCTGTCTTGCCCCACCACCCCCGTCTCTTTCTCATATGTTCCCTTGCTGCAGGCTCCAGCGATCAAACAGTGAGCCTGTGGACATGAGGCAGAGGACAGCCTTGCATGCAGCAAGGAAGCACAAGGACCAGGTGTGGGCTGTGGTGTGGGGCACCCGTTCCACCCCTTTTCACCACTTCTCACCCCTTTCTTTCCTCAAACGCCACCCTCCTGTCACCCTGCAGGCTCCAGCGATCAAACAGTGAGCATGTGGACATGCAGCAAGGGACAGCCCTGCAGGTAGCCAGGGAGAACAAGGACCACCAGGTGTGGGGTGTGGGGGTGCTGCAATGCAACCCTCCTCACCCTTTTTCACCTCACTTAGCCCCTTCTATCCCCCTGTTCCCAAACCCCCCTCTCTCACCTTTCAGGCTCCAGTGACCGAACAGTAGCGCTGTGGGACATGCGGCAGAGGACAGCGCTGCACGTAGCGAAGGATCACAAGGATCATGTGTGGAGTGTGGCTTACTGCGTCGCTCCCCACCCCTTTTCATACCTCTTCACCCCTTCTACACCCTTACTCCCACCCTCTCCTGTCACCCATCAGGCTCCAGTGATCGAACAGTGAGGCTGTGGGACATGAGGCAGAGAACAGCCCTGCAGGTAGCAAAGGAGCACAAGGATCAGGTGTGGGCTGTGGCGTTCCGGCCCCCTGGGGGAGAAGGGGTGAGGGCGGGGCGATTGGCGAGTGTATCGGATGATAAATCCATCTCTCTGTATGACTATTCGTGATAAGGCTTTAAGAAGTGTTGAGGAAATATTCTGAAGATACAATCTGCATTTCTTATAGATTATGTGTTTTTGTTCCGTTTTTGCTGATTACAATCTTCAAACATGGTCTTCAAAATAGCATACCGTAAGGGCTTTGCATCAGCGCAACAATATGCACCCTCAAGATAGTGGAGTGTGGACAGGACACCTGCTTTCACCATTCTCCGTTGCTCGTACTGGCATCCTTGTAGTGATGTAGGAGCTTTGTGTGTGTAGTCCATAGAGGCTAAGAACAATTTATTTGAGCATGCCAGTAGTATGTTTCTATATTCTCATGTGCTACAGTCACACTTTGGCCTACACTACCCGTTTGAATACCGAACCTCGATAATCACCGCGCGTTACCGAGGCCTCAGAGCAACGCGAAGTTCTCCGAGAAAAATACTTTGCAGCAATGCTTCTCCTTGGTACGGTTCATGTAGTTTCAAAGGGTTCCGTTGAAACGTTTGAATGGTTAAGGTTATGAACAGCAACCTAGCTCTCTCAGGCACCCGCTCCAACCACTCCATCCATACATACCATGCGGTAGCCACCTAAAATACCGCTGCTGGTCCTGGTGCCGCCGCGCCGCTGCTCCTCTCCTCGCGTGCATGAGGCAAAACGTCACCGCGGATCCTCGCCCTTGATGCAATTGTCGACGTCGGCGTCGTTTTGATCAGACCGCCCCCTCCAAGTCGCCCCATTCTCCCGCTCATGGCGCACGCACCCGTGCTAGCGGCTCAAGCGCGTATATCGGCGGCCCGACTGCCCGTGTCGGCGGCGGCGCACGCCCCTTTGTCGGCGCAAGCCGCCGCGCTGCTGTTCTCCTCGTTCTCCATCGCCGCGCGCGCGCTGATTGGCTGGTTTCATCTCCTCCTCTCCGCGTTTCTCCTCCATGTGGCATCAATCGCCGCGTCCGCCGCGTCGCTCTGCATCTCCCCGCTCTCGTCCCTCCTCCACGTGGCAAACACAAATGCGGTATCGCCTTTCGACGCCTGTAACGGATCACCTCACGATCCTCTCCTTAGCGCGGATGCCGCTGCCGCCGGCGGTCGCAACGAGACACAAAAGGACAATGGACGATCATGCAACGCCATTGGTCAGCAGTCCCCCTCGCTGTTGCTGTACGGCGGCCACGTGGCGCACCATAGGAGCCACCCGACGCGGCACGGCTTTAACTACGCGGTGCGCTACGCGCTGGTGAACCTCGACGCGCCTCCTGATTGGTTCTCGCGGTCGTCCGCGCGGCACCACATGTCGGCCGACGAGGCCCGCTCGTTCGCGGGAACGGATGGACCAATGTGAGCTGGGTTGGGTGGTAGATATCCCCGGGTGCAATTGGGTGGGATTCGGTGGGATGGGATTGATATGTTTCAGTTGGAGTGCACACTTCCCCCAGAAGGCGAGGAGGCGAGGAGGCGAGGAGGCGAGGAGGCGAGGAGGCGAGGAGGCGAGGGAGCGAGGCCAGAGGGGGTCCAGCGATGGCACCACATGTGGGGTGACGAGGGTGGCATGGGGTGGGGTGGGACAGAGGGGACTGATGGAATGGAACCATACGAGTTGGGCGATGAGCAGAGGGGGTCCGGCGATATGTGCAGGCTGGACGGTGCAGTGCACTGCACCCCCGTGTCGTGTCTCAGCGAGGCTCGCTCATTTGCTGGGATGGGACTGATGAACCATATGAGTACGGCGGATGTCATATCTTTGATACGTGTCACTTGGAGTGGACTGTACAACCTCTTGTTCCCTGGCGAGGCTCTCTCATTCGCTGGGGCGGACGAGCCAATGAGAGTTGTTTGTTCCATGAAGTGTCATACATAAGGATTGACCATTGACATGAGATGTGTCGGTTGGAGTGTGCACTGTACACTTGCCTGTTTGGACGACGAGGAGGCAGGCCGGAGGGGTGGTCCAGCTGTCGCCAGCTCAGCGCAGTGCCACGTGTTGGCTGACAAGGCTCGCTGGTACTGAGTGGGCCAGTGTGCATTGAAGATAATATAAGATCGCAGATGATGCAACCAAAATCAATTCATCGGCTGCAAGATGGGGTGACACTGGGTTAACGAGGCTCGCTCGTTCGCTGGGGACGGATGGGCCGATGTTAGTTGATGATAAGGTAAATGTATCGCCCATGCATGTCTGCAACGGACTCACACGCCCATGCATGTCTGCAACGGACTCCCACGCCCATGCATGTCTGCAATGGACTCACACGCCCATGCATGTCTGCAACGGACTCACACGCCCATGCATGTCTGCAACGGACTCACACGCCCATGCATGTCTGCAACGGACTCACACGCCCATGCATGTCTGCAACGGACTCACACGCCCATGCATGTCTGCAACGGACTCCCACGCCCATGCATGTCTGCAACGGACTCACACGCCCATGCATGTCTGCAACGGACTCACACGCCCATGCATGTCTGCAACGGACTCACACGCCCATGCATGTCTGCAACGGACTCACACGCCCATGCATGTCTGCAACGGACTCACACGCCCATGCATGTCTGCAACGGACTCACACGCTCATGCATGTCTGCAACGGACTCACACGCCCATGCATGTCGGCAATGGACTCCCACGCCCATGCATGTCTGCAACGGACTCACACGCCCATGCATGTCTGCAACGGACTCACACGCCCATGCATGTCTGCAACGGACTCCCACGCCCATGCATGTCTGCAACGGACTCACACGCCAATGCATGTCTGCAATGGACTCCCACGCCCATGCATGTCTGCAACGGACTCACACGCCCATGCATGTCTGCAACGGACTCACACGCCCATGCATGTCTGCAACGGACTCACACGCCCATGCATGTCTGCAACGGACTCACACGCCCATGCATGTCTGCAACGGACTCACACGCCCATGCATGTCTGCAACGGACTCACACGCCCATGCATGTCTGCAACGGACTCACACGCCCATGCATGTCTGCAACGGACTCACACGCCCATGCATGTCTGCAACGGACTCACACGCCCATGCATGTCTGCAACGGACTCACACGCCCATGCATGTCTGCAACGGACTCACACGCCCATGCATGTCTGCAACGGACTCACACGCCCATGCATGTCTGCAACGGACTCACACGCCCATGCATGTCTGCAACGGACTCACACGCCCATGCATGTCTGCAACGGACTCACACGCCCATGCATGTCTGCAACGGACTCACACGCCCATGCATGTCTGCAACGGACTCACACGCCCATGCATGTCTGCAACGGACTCACACGCCCATGCATGTCTGCAACGGACTCACACGCCCATGCATGTCTGCAACGGACTCACACGCCCATGCATGTCTGCAACGGACTCACACGCCCATGCATGTCTGCAACGGACTCACACGCCCATGCATGTCTGCAACGGACTCACACGCCCATGCATGTCTGCAACGGACTCACACGCCCATGCATGTCTGCAACGGACTCACACGCCCATGCATGTCTGCAACGGACTCACACGCCCATGCATGTCTGCAACGGACTCACACGCCCATGCATGTCTGCAACGGACTCACACGCCCATGCATGTCTGCAACGGACTCACACGCCCATGCATGTCTGCAACGGACTCACACGCCCATGCATGTCTGCAATGGACTCCCACGCCCATGCATGTCTGCAACGGACTCACACGCCCATGCATGTCTGCAACGGACTCACACGCCCATGCATGTCTGCAACGGACTCACACGCCCATGCATGTCTGCAACGGACTCACACGCCCATGCATGTCTGCAACGGACTCCCACGCCCATGCATGTCTGCAACGGACTCACACGCCCATGCATGTCTGCAACGGACTCCCACGCCCATGCATGTCTGCAACGGACTCACACGCCCATGCATGTCTGCAACGGACTCACACGCCCATGCATGTCTGCAACGGACTCACACGCCCATGCATGTCTGCAACGGACTCACACGCCCATGCATGTCTGCAACGGACTCACACGCCCATGCATGTCTGCAACGGACTCACACGCCCATGCATGTCTGCAACGGACTCACACGCCCATGCATGTCTGCAACGGACTCCCACGCCCATGCATGTCTGCAACGGACTCACACGCCCATGCATGTCTGCAACGGACTCACACGCCCATGCATGTCTGCAACGGACTCCCACGCCCATGCATGTCTGCAACGGACTCACACGCCCATGCATGTCTGCAACGGACTCACACGCCCATGCATGTCTGCAACGGACTCACACGCCCATGCATGTCTGCAACGGACTCCCACGCCCATGCATGTCTGCAACGGACTCACACGCCCATGCATGTCGGCAATGGACTCCCACGCCCATGCATGTCTGCAACGGACTCACACGCCCATGCATGTCTGCAACGGACTCACACGCCCATGCATGTCTGCAACGGACTCACACGCCCATGCATGTCTGCAACGGACTCACACGCCCATGCATGTCTGCAACGGACTCCCACGCCCATGCATGTCTGCAACGGACTCACACGCCCATGCATGTCTGCAACGGACTCACACGCCCATGCATGTCTGCAACGGACTCCCACGCCCATGCATGTCTGCAACGGACTCACACGCCCATGCATGTCTGCAACGGACTCACACGCCCATGCATGTCTGCAACGGACTCACACGCCCATGCATGTCTGCAACGGACTCACACGCCCATGCATGTCTGCAACGGACTCACACGCCCATGCATGTCTGCAACGGACTCACACGCCCATGCATGTCTGCAACGGACTCACACGCCCATGCATGTCTGCAACGGACTCCCACGCCCATGCATGTCTGCAACGGACTCCCACGCCCATGCATGTCTGCAACGGACTCACACGCCCTGAACCCTCTTCTCCTGTGCCCCCCCTTTCGATTATCCACCTTACCAAACACGCTCCTTGTTCCTGCGTCTCCCTCTTGTCAGCTCCCTACTGACCAACCCAAGGAGCACGGGGTACCATACTACTAGCAGAACTCCATCAGAGGGTACTGCTGCCGCTTTCTCACACATGCCCTGAACCCTCCCCCTCTGTGTCCCCTTTTGTCAAACCTCCCCTGTGCTCCTGCATCCCCCTGCTCGCTCTCAGCTTCCTGGTGACAAACCGAACGGGCATGGATTATGAGCAGAACCCAGTCAGTGTGCATTGCTGCTAACTAGTAATAAACGAACCTCTCACAACATTTTCCCCTCCTCCTCCACACCTCAACCCATTCACGGCCCTGTATCTGCGTCTTCCTCTTGCATGCTTCCTGGTCACGACTCACCAACCTAAAGGGTATGAGCAGAACGCCATCAGCGTCTACTACTGCTAGGGATTAATGATCAACCACTCCATTACAGCATTTCTTCCTCCTCCACACCACACCCCCTTCCCTCGTGCTCCTGCATTCCCCTGCTCTCAGCTTCCTACTCACCAACCCAAGGAGCATGGGGTACAAGCAGAACCCCATTAGCGTGTACCGCTGCTGCCTATTAATGAACGACCCTCTTGTAACACTTCTCCCTCCTCCTCACCACACCACACCACACCACACCCCGTTCTCTCCCCTGTATCTGCGTTCCCTCTTGTCAGCTTCCTACTGACCAACCCAACAAGCATGGGGTACGAGCAGAACCCCATCAGTATTTACGACTGCTATGGAGTAGCGACCCTCTCGCAACACTACCCCCTCCTCCTCACCACAACCCCTTACCCCCCCTGTGTGTGTGTTGCCAAACAGCTTTCTACTCACCAACCCAACGAGCATGGGGTACGAGCAGAACCCCATCAGCGTCTACTACTGCTACCGTGCCTGCAGCAGCACCACTGGCACTGCCACGGCCAACACTAATGGCAGCACCAGCAGGGGCGAGGGGGGGCAATGTGAGGAGGAGTCGCTTTTGCCCCCGGCTGACTCCCTGGCAGTCTGCATTAGCGAGGTGAGATGCGGTGCGCTGCACTGCTGTGCAGAGCGGTGAGGTAAGGTGCCACTTCCTGTGTTTTCATCGACTCAGCGTTTCCCCTCCATTTCCCAGCCAGCCTTGCAAGAGCTGCCTTCTTGTCGACCTCTTTCCTTATCGGAGAATTCCCATATGTGATCCCCGACCTCTTCCTTCCCCTATCCTTCCCCCATTCCAAATAGCATCTCGCTCATCCACACCCTCTCACACCACTGCCCCCACCCGACCTGTCCAATACCTTGTGGATTGACCAAGTCACTGAGCTTATCACACGAATCCTTGTTGCTACCTCCCCTCCTCAAACCCCTCCCTTCCCCTCCCTCCCTTCCCCTCCCTTCTCCCGTCCCGGTGTGCCCTCCCTTCCGCTCTTATCTCATCCTCCCCCACCCCTCTCTCTCGCACCCCTCACCACACCACCCTGTGTCTTCCCAGCCTCCAACACCCCCCAGGGCGACCAAACCATCTGCCCTTCTTTGCCGTTCCTATTCACCCCGCCACCCCGAACTCTATCCCCCTTTTCGCCCTCCCTTTCTCCCTTTCCCCCTCACCACCACCACCATGCCTCCACACCCCCGACGGCGACCAACTCACCTTCCTCCTCGCCCCTCATCCCAACCATTCATGATTCCCCCTCCACTTTTCCCTGATCCTTTCCTGTTCTGTTCCGTCTCCCAGCAATGCAACCACATAACCCCCCACCAGCACTCCTGGACTGACCGAGTCACCTTCCTCTTCGCATCACCATCCCTTGCCCTCCTCCCCAACCCTTCCCCCCTTCTTGGCCTCCCCGCGTTCCCTGTTCCCCCAACCCCCACCACACCAGGTGTCCAACTGGACTGACCGAGTCACCTTCCTCTTTGCCTCACCACCATCCCCTTCTCTCATCCCCAACCCTATCCGGCCCTGTGCCCCATTTTCGCCCCACACCCCAACCCCCACCACGCCAGGTGTCCAACACCCCATGGACCGACCGAGTGACCTTCCTCTTCGCCCCTCTGCAAGACCACGTGCCCAAGCCACTGCACGTCTCGCCTTCATGGTTTCATTTCTCGCCTTCTCCCCAATCCCCCCAGCTGAGCTTTCAAGTGATGTTTCAAAGTCACTCCTGCTAGACCACATGTGTCACTGTCACCTCCCACCCTTCATGGTCAGCTTGCAAGCAACAGAACGTTGACTCGAGCTGAGCTTTCAAGTTGAGCACTTCAGTTCAGTGAGACTTCGAGTGAAATTTCAGTTCAGTTCAGTTCAGTCAAATTCGCCTCCGCTTGACCATGTACCCAAGCCCTGCACGTCTCCAGCCAGGCCACGTGCTCAAGCACGCCTCGCTTAGATCAGCGTTCACCTGCCCCACATTGCCGCTTCTGCCATTCCTTCTCCTTTTTTCCTCGTCCTCCTCCTCATCCCTCCCCGCCCCCCTCGCCCGCCTTTTGCCCCCAGCTCCACCATACCCATTCCAGCCTTCACACTCTTCATCCTATCCATATCACCCACTGTTTCCCACTCTCCATTCCCCCTCCCACCTCCCACATCGTCCCACATTCCCCGTCCCACCTTCAATCGTCCCCCATCCTTCCCAGGACATGCAATCGACATGGGTGATGCGCGCTCTGCCCCCATCCCACCGCATCTCACTGCACATCACCGCTCTGCACCCTGTGCTGGGTTGCAAGGAGGCTACAGCAGCGCAGGAGTCACACAAGGAGAATGAGAAGGAGGCAGAGACAGGGGGTGCGGGGAGTGGTGGGGAGGACGCATTGGAAACCAAGGGCAGTGGCAGCAGCAGCAATATCAGCAACAGCAATGGCGGCAATAGCATGGGCAGCAGCATATTCGTGGCATGTCTTGACATCGACTGCTTGCCTGCATCCCAGCAGCCGTACCTCCTCCCGCCCACCGTGCCCACCCTGCCTCGCCCTCTCACTCCCTCCCAATCTCACCCACACCCGCCGTCCTCCGCCCACCCACCCTCGGTCCATGGGGTCGTAGCGGAGTGGAGCAGGGAGGTGCGCTGCCGCTGGTGGCTGTGCCTCATGCCCCACCGCGTGGCCTTTTGGATCTACTGGCAGGTGCGTGAAGGGAGGGTGGAGTGGGGAGGGGGGAGGGGGGAGGGGGGAGGGGGGAGGGGGGAGGGGGGAGGGGGGGGAAGCTTTGGAGGGAGTGGAAGCACTTGCTTACGCATGAGACGCATGCCCCGCCACATGGCCTTCTGGATGTACTGGCAGGTAGGAAAGGGGAGGGAGGGGCAAGGAAGAGTGGGGGAGGGAGCGCATGGATGGACACACACATGTCGTGTGTATGTGGAGCAGTGGTGGTGAGGCGCACAAGGGATTGGTGGTGAGGCGCACAAGGGATTGCTGTTTGGTTCCTGTGCTGTGTTCTTGGCAAGCGTGCGTGCAAGCCTCTCAGGGTGTTGCGAATTGCAATGGGTGCCCACAAATTGACGTGTTTCATTGTGAGCAATGTGTGTGTGCTTGTGATGTGTGCACCACGGGCTGATGGCAGTGTGTGTCATCGCCACTCATGGCAGTGTGTTTCATCGCCACTCATGGCAGTGTGTTTCATCGCCACTCATGGCAGTTTTATAGGCATTGTACCATGTGCCTATAATCTCACCTGTTTCATCCTTCCCCCCCTTCCCCTCTTCCCCCCCCACTCCCTTCCATACCTTCACCATATGCCCATCCTTAAATCCTTGCCTCGCTTCTCTCTCATTTGCGCCACTGGCTCAACCCATCCGTTTTGCCCCTCAATTCCACTTCTTCTTTCAAGTTCGTTCCATCTTGTTCCATGTGCTCAGTCTATGCCGATTCGCATCCCTACAACCCACTCGTTCTCATCTCCTCCACTTGCTCTCCCTTCCATTCGCTCTCCATTCCCTCACTCTCCCTTCCCTTGCTCACCCCTCCTCCCCCCACTCCTACATGGATCAGGCCTTTCTCCTGTGGTGGAAAGGCGTGCCTTTATTTGAGCACCCCAAGTACACTGCCGGTCCCTCCTATGCCGAATCTACACTTGGCCGTCTTTCGAAAGTTGCTTATATTGGCAAGCGGGAATCAGACACGTGTCCTGCAATGAACGGTCGTGCAAGCCAGTGTACACCAGGGTCGTCACTGCAGTGCCCTTTCAAATGGCGAAATGCATCAGCATGGCCCTGGAACTGATGGATAGAAATTTGCAAATTCATTTCGTTGTTCAGTATTTTGCTGCTTCATGTCTGAACTGAATGATAGTAGGACCTACGGTAAGTTTATACGAGGTTCACAGGACTCCTTTCATGCATTCCCACCCACATGGCTATGGCAGCATAACAAGTCACTCCAGGTGAATGATGCTGCTGCCACAGGCTATTTGCACATGTCATCCAAACCTGGAATGGCGAACTCAAAACACTAAGGCGAGTACAAGGACTTGTACTATATAAAAGATTGCTACAGGCTCTACGCATGCTGAACCTGGGTAATACTCCCAAACGTATAAAAAGCGTTTCCTGACTCCTAATGCTTCCTTATCCACAGTGTGTTCTGCTGTACTTATATAAAAAAAAAGAGTTGCGCAGAGTTTTTTTTGGAACTTGCTTCGAAGCGTTGCAATGAGGAGTTAGCTCCAGAAAGCCGAAGAGCTTTGATTAGAAAACCTTCGCTTCCAGCTAAGGTAGAGCAGCTGAGCAGGCCCCTCTAGCGCTCGGAGATCTGGCTGAAGCCAGCCCCGCCCGCCCTGCGACGCCGCATGATGAGCACCACTCCCAGGACAATCAGCACCACCACGAACAGACAGCCTATCACTATGGCCGCTATTGCTGCACCCGAGAGGCCTGGTGGGGCGAGGGGAGAAGAGAAGGGAATGGGTGAAAGTTATTAATCAGGGAAACAGCAAGAGGGACCACTTGGGAGAGACGGGCAATCAGAATAGCCGCTACCGTCACGGCAGACAGAGGTTGGTAGGGGGAGAGGAGAAGGGTGTGGATGGGAGCAAGGGTTGGACTAGAGTGGAGAAGAGAAGAGAAAGAGCGAGGAGCAAATGAATGAGCATGATGGCGCAGTCATTATGGCCGCTATCGCTGCTGCAGCCAGGCCTCAGCAGGGCTGGGAGGAGGGGGCTTGGTTGGGTGAGGATGTGGGTTGCAAGATAGTTTTGAGGGGAAGAGCAAGAGAGAGGAGGACGAAAGCAAACCGATTATACTCCACTCCTTCCCCACCACCCTCTCACGGGCACACCCGTACACATTTTCTCACCTGCATCATGTCTCTCTCACCTGAGCTCTCCGTGGTCGTCTGCGGCACCACTTCAAACAGCTCCACACCGCTTATCACCGCCGGCAACCGGCTCCCGCCGACCGTCCGCACGCCCACCTCCAGATCCTCCCCGTAGTTGGACGAATACTGCGAGTAGTTGAAAAACACCGGCACCACCAGCGCCGTTAACGGAGCCACCTTAGCGCGGATGTCGAAGCCACCCGCCTGGTTACCAATGGACTTGACCACGTTCCCGCTGCCCAGCAGAATCTCGAAGACGCGATCGCCGGGCTGAGCGGAGGGGTCGAGCTCGACAAAATAAAATCGGATATACCACATGTTGTTTTTGTCCACTGGCAGCACCGTCATGCGAAACCCCGTCGCCTGCGACAGTTGCGACGGTCGTCCGGCGACGCCGCTCGCGTTCGATAGAGGCGTCAGGGCAGCCCGGGAAGTTTCGAAAACCGCCGGGGGGAGGAAGTCCGGTGCCACTCCCGTGCCGGCGATCGGTGCCGAGGCTGAGTCTTTGGTTAGGACGGTGAAGTTGCCTTGCTCCGGCCGGACGTCCTCCATCCAGGTTCGGAAGCCCGGGTCTGCAGGTTCGGGCCCGACCTTGCCGCCGCCCATGTTGAGCCGAACGTATGTGGAGAGGATGACCTTGTTGCCGAGCGTCGCGGCGTCGTACGCGTCAGTGTCTTGCGGGAGGACTTCCAACGAGTTCACTATAGCGGGGCCGGGCGACCCGGGCTGTGCTTGGAAGCACACGGCGAGCTTCCCGTTGAGTGCGTACGCGATATAGTCGGAGTAGTACGCTCCGCTAACGAAGTTGGACTGTACAACGGTCATGTCGACGCTCTCGACTACAGTGTTTTGCACGAGCACGCTAAAGTACGGCGGCATGTTCTTATCGTCGTAGTTGTAATACGCGAAGCTCACGCGCACGAGATAGCGGCCCTCAACAACGGGGATATTGTAGCAGCCGGTGGTGCCGACGGGAAACGCCCGGAGCGTCGACTCTACAGTGTTGAGCGAGAAAGAGTTCGCGGATGCGATGGTGTGCGAGTCGCCGCCGTTGGAGTATTTGTCGCCCTGCCATTCCAATCCGTTGGCCGACGTGGGGCTGTCCGAGCCGCAGTCGATGCGCAGCGGGGCTGCGCGCCGAGCGAGTCATGCGGAGAATGGAGGCAGAGGAGGGGAGGAAGGGCAGGTAAGGGCAGGGAAAGGCAGCAAAAGGCAGGAGATCGCAGGGGAGGGAGAATGAACGGGAGAGACGAAGCAAGGACGGGAGAATGAGAAGCGAGGAGAATGGCCTAGATGTGGGGACGGCATGGCACGATGGCTTTAGATGAGAGGATGATGCTGAAGGGCCGAGGGGCTGGTAGCAGTCCATAGCTTACTACTGCTAGTCGGCCAAAAATCGCGTTATCGCGTTATTCAAGGACACGAAATGGCTCAAAGTTACAAGAAAACTAAGTTGTCAGCCATGGTACCTTGAGTGCTTCTGTAAGCTGCTGCAATCGTCGCCACGGATAGGAGTCCCAGCACCACGCTCAGAAGCCGCGGTCGGATCATTCTGTCGGTCGACTCTCGAGAGCTGGTCAGAGTAAACCTGATTTTATAAGATTTGGCCTCTTTAGCACCGCGAGGAATAGGCGATCTGGAAAAGGAATAGCACAACCGCTTGGTGGGACGAGAGAGCTTAGCGGAGTATTTTGGGCCGAGTTTTAATTGGCTAAACAAGTGCAGAAGGCTAGCCCAGTCTGTTCGTCCTCCGAGTAGAGTTGAAAAGAAACGCTTCGAGACCAAAGACGGACACAGCGCAAGGTATTTTTATTTCATCAGCAGGCTATGTGACTCCCAAGGCCGATAGTTACCCCCCACGCCTCACTTGTCACTTGAATCTCTGAGGTGAAGTGACCAGTATGCTTGGGCTGGTTCCCGCTGGGTTTCAAAAAGGCCTGTTCAAGAAGAGCGAAATTGCTCTTCATGCAGAATCAGAAGTTGAGGACTTCAGTTCGGAACAACACATGCCTATAATAATACTCTCGCTGATGGCACTGAATTTTCGTCAGCAACTTGATAAGCGAGCACAACGACTCGTTACGGAGATCACATTTTCAGCTGTGAAAACACGCCCTGTATTAACACAAACGCCTTGAAGTTTCGAGTCAGCGAACGACAGGTGCGACAGTTCTTATGAGCATCAGTCGCGGTTCTGACAGGTGCACGCGGGACAACCCAGCATGCGACGCCTCCTCCCGCCATTCTACGACCGCGTCGCCCAGCAAGACGTCAGTGTCGCCGTCAGTCAGCACAGTGGCCGTCCAAGCCAACGCATCGTGCGGTGCTCCGTGATTCACCACAGACTCGTTCAACTGCGAAGCGCTTCGCGACGCGAAACTCCCACATCGGAAGTGTCGGGCTGTCTGACTTTCCACATACTACAGTTGAACTCGTTAAGTACCCACATTATAATCATAATTGTACACAGTTGCCATTTTAACTATCACTCAGACCTGACATCAAACAGCAAAAGAAAGAATCAAGAATTGAGAATGCAATTCCATCCATCAGTTCCACGACCATGTTAATGCATTTCGCCATTTAAAAGGGCAGTGCAGTGAAAACCCTGGTGTACTGTGGCTAGCCGCTCCATTCATTGCCAAGGACACGTTTGCTTCCGGCTTGCCAAGCAACTTCTGAAGGACGGTCAAGTGTAGATTCGGCATAGGCAGGCCCTTTAGTGCACTTGAGGTGCACAAATATAGGCACTCTCCACCACAAGAGAAAGGCCTGATCCCGGTAGGAGTTGGGGGGGGGAGGGGTGAGCAAGGGAGGAGTGAGATGGGAATAAGTGGGTTGAAGGCATGCGGATCAGTACAAACTGAGCACATGCAGCAATGAAGCAGTTATTAAAGACGAGAAAAACGGATGGAGAACGATGTCGACGAGTAGGTGAGGCTGGACACACAGTGAGGTGTGAGGGAGAGGAGGGGGCGGGGGGGAAAGGGGGAGAAGAAAGAGGAGGGGGGAGGAAGGGGGAGGGATGGGGTGGTGGTGACGATGAAACAGGTCAGATCATAGGCATGATGTGCGATGCCTTGAGTGGTGATGAAACACCCATTGGGCACACATGTGCACACTCCACAGGCATCTACACATCTCGCACATTGAAACATGTCAACTAAAAAGCATGGATTGCAATGCAAACATTGGCTTGCACGCTTGCGCACAATCTAGGAGGTACAAATGTCAAATGTTGTAGTCTTAGTGATGTGTGCTATAGGGGGTACAACTGTTAGGGTTAGGTTTATGTACCCCAACCAACCTTAGTCAAACCAACACCTTCATTCTTGACATGGTATCACCTAGGTTAGGATCCTATGGGATCCCGCTAGAGCCTCTCGCGCCCGTTGCACGTAGTCTACCGTTCCCGCAGCGCATGTTTCGTCCCGTAGCGCCCGTTGTGGCCGTTCGTTCCATCCTGTAGCGCCCTTAGCGCTTGCCCGTTCCGTCACGAAGCGCCTATCGCGCTCGTCGCTCTCGTGCCCTAGCGCCCGCTGCGCCTGCCGTCGCGTCGCCCCTGCTGTCCCGTCCGGTCCCGTCGCCCCTGCTGTCCCGTCGCCCCAGCTGTTCCGTCCCGTCGCCCCTGCCGTCGCGTCGCCCCTGCTGTACCGTCCCGTCGCCCCTGCCGTCGCGTCGCCCCTGCTGTCCCGTCCCGTCCCGTCGCCCCTGCTGTCCCGTCGCGTCGCCCCCTGCTGTCCCATCGCGTTGGGCCTGTCCCTGCTGTCCCGTCGCGTCGCGCTGTCTCGCCGCGTCGCGCCGTACGTCCCGTCCCGTCCCGTCGCACGCGCCCCGTGCGCCCTGCCCGTCCGTCGCGCCCCCGCTGCGCCCTGCCTGTCCGTCGCGCCCCGTGTGCCGTGCCCGTCCGTAGCGCCCCGTGCGCCCTGCCCGTCCGTCGCGCCCCCGCTGCGCCCTGCCCGTCCGTCGCGCCCCGTGCGCCCTGCCTGTCCGTCATGCCCCCGCTGCGCCCTGCCCGTACGTTGCGCCCCGTGCGCCCCGCGCCTGTCGCGCCCGTCCCTGCCAGTCGTGTCCTGTCCCGTCGCGTCGCACTGTCTGTCACGCCCTACGCATGCCCTTTAGGCGTTTAGGGTTTCGGCAACAGCAGTTCCCACATCTTCGCTTCCACTATGGCGACCCCTAGGCTCCTGCGCTTTGACACCAAGGGTAGGCCGCTTGAGTTCTCCGTCTGGTTCCTGCGTGCGTGCCGCCTCCTAGAGAGCCAGGTTCAGGCACACGAGACTATGTGGGCGCACGCTTCGACCTACCTGAGCCCGCTGACCCAGCACCCTTAGTAGCTGACCCCACACCTGCAGACAGCGACCGTTATGCACGCGAGCGTGCTGACGTGACCGCGTGGAAGTCGCGTGACGCTGCGGCCTGCATCGCCCTCAGCAATCTCCTTCTTGAGTCTGAGGAGACCCACTTCACTCAGGTTCGCACGGCTAGCGAGTTTCTGACTGCGATCAAGGCCCGCTACGCTACTCCCACCACTGTCTCTCTTGGTCGCCTGTTCCTTCCGTCCCTGTTTCCTGACCTCGCCTCCTTTGAGCGCACTGCTGACTTGATCACTCATCTGCGCTTGCTCGATTCTAGCTACCACGCTGCTTGCACTGACGCACAGCTTGCACTGCTCCCTCCCCCCATGGCGATTACTATATATTTCATCGCCACTAGCCTCCCTGATCGCCTTGCCTCGGTTCGTGACGCGCTTCTTCTGAAGCACCCTAGCGAGCTCACTATCGAGGTCCTTGAGTCGGCCCTCAAGGACGTCGAGAGCAACCTCCGCTCGGTAGCCTCTGCCTCTAGTGCTGTGCCCCCTCCACTGTTCCACGGGTGCACTGTCCCTCAGCTGCCCACCTTTACTGCCTCCCTCGCCACTGCTGCTACTGACGTGACCGCAGCTGCTGCTACGACTTCTTCGCGGTCTCGGGGTAGGAGTAGCAGGAGGGGCGAGGGTGCGAACGGAGGCGGCAGAGGCGGTGGGGGTGACGTGGCGAGCGGCGGCGGCAGGAGTGCAGGGGCTGGAGGAGCGCCTCGTGCAGCGGCCGGTGACTCTCCTGCTGCAGCTGGTGGAGGTGATGCCCGGGTTCGTCAGCCACCTACTGGTCTGCCAGCCGCAGGGGTTGGAGCAGCGGCGTGGTACCTGACTCAGCGACAGCAGCAGCAGCAGCAGCCCATCCCCTCGCAGCAGCCACAGCACCAGCAGCGTCAGCAGCAAGTTTCGGGGCAGGGGTCAGGACAGCGTCAGTTGCAGCGTGGTGTCGTCCACCCTCCCTGCACCTATCACGTTCTGACAGGTGCCCGCCGCGGCCAGCCTTGTGGCCGCACCCACCCACCGGGCCAGTGCTTTGCTCACCTTACTGACACGTTTCGATTGGCCTACGGCGTTGACGGCCCTGCCTCTGACTGGCTTCCCCTTGTTCAGACGTACGGCCCCACACTAAGGGGCATGTCGACTTCTCAGTTGGTTGATCTCTTAGGAACTCCTCATGCTATGTATGCTGTTGTTGACTGTAGTGCTTCTGACTCTGTTTACTCGAGTGTTGTTAGCTTAGGTGCTAGTCTTGCTGAGGTGCCTGTTGCTAGTGTAGGTACTTGTGTAGACACTAGTCCAGGAGCTGCTCTGGAGGACGCTTCGCTGTCTTTCACTCTGGACTCCGGAGCTTCGCACTGTTTCTTCCGCGACCGCACGACACGTCTCTGTAGCACTGGCTGATCCCACTACGGGACCAGTCACTGCTCGCTACACTACTACGCTTCCGTGCCCGGCTGTTCCCTCCGGTTCTCTGACCGGCTTCCACGTCCCCTCGTTCTCGAGGAACTTGGTGGGCGCGAGGCCGCTCGTGAGTCAGCACGTGGGTGTGTGGATTGAGCCTTCTGGCGAGACTGCGGTTTGTGTCGACGGGGACACGTACGTGCCTCTCGCCACCTTTACCGCTGAGCCGGGCTCTGGTCTCTACACACTTCACACTGGCCCCTGAGGGCAGCAGCAGCTACTGCCCCCGACCCCTGTCACTGTCCCCCGTCAGGTTCCCGCGTCTCACCAGGTTGCCGCGTCTCCCCAGGTAGCTGTGTCTGGTCAGGTTCCAGTGTCTGGTCCAGTTGCTGCGTCGTGCTCCTGCCGGTCGCTTTCCCACCCCACTGTTTTGTGGCACCACCGGATGGGGCACCCGTCCATTTCTCGCCTGCGCGCTATGTCTAGTCAGCGTCTTGTCTTAGGCCTCCCGCGTGTATTGCCGTCGTTGTCGCCTTCGCTTGTGCCACCCTGCGGTCCCTACGTCGAGGGTCGGCAGCGCGCCACCCCTCACTCCTCCTCCCTTCGTCCGGCCACCGAGCCCTTCGAGACTCTCCACTTGGACGTCTGGGGCCCCGCCTCGCGCCCTGGCCCTGAGCGAGAGAGTTTCTTTCTCGTGGTCGTTGACGACTACTCCCGCTATACCACAGTGTTCCACCTGGCGAAGAAGTCCGACGTGACTTCTACGCTGATCCGGTGGTTGCTTACCACTGCG